GTAGATGTTCCCCCTTTTTCATCCAAACTTTAGGACCACCTTGCATGACAACGTTAGGGCCGAGTTTCCCTTAGACCATCTGTGTGTCTCTCTTCCCATCTCAAAACAATTCTAACTCATCTAATAAAGGCGATAAATGTTGCGCGCTACGAGCCTTAAGCTACGTAGGGAATGAGAGTGAGGGGTCTCCTCTCGCCTATCTAGGGTGTTTAGTATAAGTCTCGTTTGGGGGTGATATACAACGCATTCGCCTCCATGTCATAGTCTTTAGTGCAACGTGAATCACAAACCGAATTAATTTACTTCACTAAAAACACAAAATAAACGTCAAACCTTTTTCCTTCGGGATTAATCGGAAACCTTTTCAGAAAAGAGTGTTGTTAAGCTTCGGTTCTACTGCAAACAGGCTTTGTCCCTAACTGCTGGAACGGAGGTTTAACTTTACTCGATTAAAACACTTAATCAACTTGTGGTTTCGTGTCCACCCGAACTACGTTTGCTCTAATCTTTCATGCCAGATGAAAGTACGTAGGCACAAGACGTGACGTCTTGGCGAGCAACCTTCCCCCTTTTCTCCCGTAGTTAGCCGAACTACGTTGACTCTGACTTTCCCATTGTACGAGAGAATACTTAGGCACAAAGTTGCGACGCTCTGCCGAGTTTCTTTTCTTTTCTTTTTGTCCCGCAAGCCTGTAGCGTAGATAGTTTAAACACACCCTTAGATAGACAACAAGCGTGGATCCCGTCGAGTACGACGGACGTGAGGGGTGTTAATACCTTCCCCTTGCGTAACCGACTCCCGAATCCAGACTTGGTTGCGATGACCTTGTCTTTTCCTTTTTCGTTAGATTTTTCCGATCATTTCATTTCCCTCTCTTTAGGATAAATAACGAAAGGTGACGACTCTTCTGTTTTCCGCCGGGTGTTTTTCGCAATTGCGACACACATCAATAAATTATTATAGAGACATGTATATATTTAATTGTAAATTATAAGACGAAAACAAGATATCAAACGCACCATTAAACCACAATTTTTGATTGTCAAGAATTAACTGTAAGTGGTACTCTCAAAGTAATGATCAAATGTCAGATAATGTGCATCTTTGACGCTAACCATTACCCACATGAATAATTCCAAACTTAATATGTCAAACCATGTCTTCTTTTTACCGACTATAACAGCTCGCGTGAATAATTTCATACTACATCTTTTGTAATTTCAACTTAATCAAATATACATAATAGATGTTACTTTTGCAACATATCGTTTCAATCAACTCACTTATCCACAAATGTAGGTCATATTCATTTAAAATGTCGATTAATAATAATAATATTTCTTGAAAGTCTTTAGTGTGAGAACAAATTCACACTAAAACATAAGTTTTATTAATTTATGCAAATTACATGATTAAAAAAATATTATTGTATAAAACTTAATAACAATAAACTCAAATAACATAAGCATACTAAATATATAACTTCAAATCAAATAAATATTAAATATTTATATATCCAAAATAAATGTAAAACAGATTCACATATATACCAATTACTTCTTTAAATAAATTATTTTAGAATCAACAAAACTAATTCTAAAATCCAAAGTATCCAATATTTAAAGAATCAAATCTTTAGTTTTACTTTATAATTTTGAGAGACATTCAAAATATTCAAAAAAAAAAATCCATAAATAACACGTAATAACTAAATATATATTAAACAACATATCTCTCAAAATAAACCAAATATTTCACAAATATTTTTTTCCAAAAAAAAACATAAAGATATTATTTTGAATCAAAACTTTATCATATAATTTGCAAGTCAAATTTAAAACTTTACTTGATGACAACAAATTATATTTGAATCAAATTTAAAATTTGTGATATGTAATTCTTTATTTGAAAGAACATAAAAGAACATGCCTACATATAAATTTATATGGAACAACTTAAACCATAGAAATCGTTTCAAAACAAATATACATATTATCATAAATTTCATACTATCTCAATGATTTAACGAATAAAAGAAAATATCCTCAAATATTATCATAAAAAATTCATGTCTTGAAAAACAAAATTCACACAATCATGAATTTCAAATATATATTTCATAATCGCATATCCACACAAAAATTGAAGCTTAGTGCACAAATCTCAATATAGTTAACGCGAAGACCGGATATGATACCACTTGTTGGAATTAAATCAATAACAATTAATCACGTATACATGTTTTATATATTATGTCATATATTTTACTGTAGAATATAATAGATAATACGAACTTGTATATAATTACAAGATCTACGACATGTTATTATATGAGAGAAGAGATTGCATGAATACCTGAATGGGATTGCAGAAACACCTGAATTTATTGAGAAAGTTTTGTTGGCGGTAATCCCGAAAGGTAGAAGACAAACAACAAACGCCACACCGGGTGGTTTGTATGGGTCATTTTGACATCCGCTCGTATTTGAGCTCGTATCTAATTAATTAATTAATTAATTGCCAAATAGAAATATAATTAGTCTTTTAAATGTATTTGACTAGTTAATCAATTAAGACTCTTAATTTTGATAAATAGTTAGTATAATTAAAATATATATGGTCACATAATAATTATTGAAAAATAATTAATTAATTAATATTTAAATTATAAAATATTTAAACATTGGTTTGTTACAAATTTAAATTTAATTTCTTTTAAATTTGATTTGATCTTTGCTTATGACCAACAAATTATATAATCATATTGCTAAACCAATAGCAATAAAACATAATTGAATCTTCTAAAAAGATTATATTAAAACTCAACAATCTGGCGTCACCCGGTCTAAATGTCAAACCAGCATGTTGAAGCATCGCGTCCAACATCTTTTGAAATTCCATACAGCTTTTAACAAGTTAAGTCAATCTTAAATACTTGAACATTTCTCCAAATTATTTTTTTCATACATTGTTTAGTATGAATGTTCATAGATTGCTTATAAAGCAAGAAAGTCATTTGATAGGCTAACATGTCATCCACTATGAGAAAGTACAGGAAAACATGTCTTTTCTAAGGTCGTTTTTGAAATTGTGCAAAATGACCTACAGCAGTATAGATCCTCACCCTTTTTTATAATTAATCTATGGAAGAAAAAAAAATATTTATACACATATTTTATGGTTAATTTTTAAATAGAGTATCTTAAATTTCACACCTCAATTGAAACTAATTTCAACTTTTTTTTATAGTATCATTCAAAAGTTTGGGATGGCTCTAGCTCTTATATTATACGGGCAAGATTTCCAAGACATGAAAATAACTATGTCCAAGTGTTTCTCTTTGCAGGATTTCATGAGGATTCACTCTACAGAAAGGCATATAAATGTTAAATCGGACCTTAGAAAAGGGATCATAAGAAAATAACTTTAGTTTAATTACACTTCTTCAATCTCAACTCCCTTTAACTTTATGTTAGTTTTCGAATTTAAAAAATTGAGTTTGGTACAAGGAAATTATCGGGACGAGTCGCGTATTAGGTCGTTTTTTTTAAGACGTTTCGCCGTACTGTCAAAATATACAAAGCAGTTGATTTACAACTACGACGACGCCTCCAGGATAAAACAGTTTATTCAAAACCTTACGATTATCAGTTGCACACTGATCCACCGAATTATATTAATTAATTAATGATAATTAACTTCTATAAATTCGGGTCCAAAAAATAATTCATCTAGACCGGAGCGAACCGAACCGGCCGGACGGCGGCGCACGTGCGTCTTGATGGTCATGGATATGTCCTCACTCCTTTCACAAAATTGGGTGCCCTTTAGGACTCAACCCAATTGACAAAGTTGGAATATATAAACACTACTAATATTTCCATTATCTTTAATGTGAGACTAAAATGAATCTTTTCAAATTCACTTCTATATTAGTTCTTACTTGTGTTCATTTATTGTCCATTAATTATCAATAAATCTTTCCAATTCCCACTCTAATTAATATAATTCCAACACTTTCACTTCAAGAAACTCAATTCATTTACACTTCTACAAACTCAATTTATATATACTTATGCACAAATTTGAACAACGGAAATAATTTCCAAAAACACAAAAATTCATTAAGTTATGCCACAAAGTATCAATCGTGGAAGATCTCATTATTTAATTTTTGTATTACTAAATATATAAGCAAATCAGGTTTGCAAAAGTGTATCAGAGCTAAGTTTGCAAAAGAGAGTAAATTGAGTTTATAGAAAATTTAAGTAAACCAAATTTAGTCCACTTCTATGTATGATTCCAGTTGGAAATTTAATTTCAATTTAAGAATATTTTAGTCATTTTGAGATTTAATGAAATTATCAAAATTGTAACCAGAAAAAATAATTTATATGCTATATGCATTACAACTTACAAGCATGAATATAATTGTTACATATTATGTGGTCAGTTATAGAAGAATGTAGGAAGCTGCAAATTTAAAGTACAAGAGCAACATTACACTTAAAAATAATACAGGCTATAAAGGTTGTTTAAAGAGCTAAGCATTATTATCTGCAACCAAATGTTAATGATCTCAAACAATAACAGTAAGACCAACAGGTTGCAGTGCAGCTAGAACTTTGACAAGCTCCATCTTTTTGCTGGAAAGAGCATTGGGTTGGGTTAGTTCAGAATCAACAGAGGAAGGGGTTGTAAACACTTCCCAACTTAGTATGTCGGAAACAGCTATCACTTCAGATTTTATGTCACGGTTGACAAAAGCATCCATAGTTTCGCAGTTTCGCATGAAAATGAGCAAGATAAGCTCCTCTGCTAAAATATATATTTTTCTTCTCTTTTCACATTTTAACCTTATGGCAAAGCAGCAAACACAAGTTTACCTCTGAAAAGTGATTGGAATAAAAAGTTACTGCTGCTCATATTGCTCAAGCAACTTCCTGGCTCTCAAATACAGATGTTACAGAGGTAGACTGAACCCCTTTTAGTGCACAAATCAAGTTGACAGGAGTGAAACCATAGCGTCTGCAGATTCTGGCCCATCATTATTCACACTTGGTATAATGTTATTGGGAGATACAAAATTTACAAACTCTTTGAGTTCTGTAAAGCTGGAATGCTCACTGTAAGGAACTTCATACCTAAAAAAGAAAACTTTGGTTGGTTTAATAGTTACACAAACTTAAGTAAGCAACACAAGCAGGCTGTTTTTCTGACAATCTGTGTGCGCCTATAGACTAGTTCAGTGAAATATGAATCAAATGCACCATTGAGGTCAGGTATTTGGTATAACAAGCTTTATTGAACGAAAAGAAGAGAAAGAGCAAGGAGTCATGTTTTGAAGGGATGCAATGCATGCAGGTATATCATTCAAGATTTCAACCATTAGTGTATAATCATAAATTTAAGATTCTAGTGATAAAGGAAATTAAAGCATCACCTTATAACAGTACCCTGCTGCCACCTTTTTCCAGGAGACTTCTTTTTACCTTTGCCAAATGTCCAACCAGTAGGAGAGAAAGCAACTATAAGACTGAACCGACTCTGAATAAAGAAAATACATCTGATAATTAGAAATGTGAAATTTGAAGTTAAACGATACATAATTCAGTACTAACAATCCAATTCAAAAGCTGTAAAACTGATTAGCAAGTAGACCAAGTAGCAGCCATGGATTCTTTATCAGCCACCAAGCATTTTGTCATGGAATGGTTATCAGACAAAAGATCAGATTCAAAGTAGTAAAGAATACTAGTATTTGTAGCTATATATGTATTGTAAATAAAGAAGTGCCTACTTTAACATATGTTCCTTGTCAACATTGAAAAACAACAGAGAGCTAGCATATAATGGTTTTGATAGAAAAACAGGCAGCAGCACTCACCGCATATTGACTTGATATGTGCTTCAATCTTTTGAAGCTTGCGAGTGTCCACATTGGGGCAACATGAATATTGCTTTCATGCTCATTTGAAGTAAACCACTGCATATCCTCCTCAGTAAATTCTAAACAGTTTAAAAGGCGTAATTTTGCTGCAGTCACGTAAACCTTTTTGCGTAGCGAACGCGCAACCTCCAAGAATAGCCTTTCTTTTCCTATAGAAACATAATAAAATACGAGGTGTGGTAACTTTTTCTCATTAGTCTCCCTATAGTTGGACAAAGGCCGATGTCATCAAAAAAGCAATTGCCCAAATACTTTATTCAAACAAATATTAAAGGGAAAAGATAACCATAGTTAAGTATAATCATAAATAGTCAGAAAGAGAGATGACTTAAGCTCTACCAATTGTATAGCTGCCAATCATAAAAAGAGTCCGGGGATTAAAAGCTTCTGCTTGAATGGCGTCAATAACAAATTGTATTACAGCTTCTTGTTTTGGAAAATCATACTGCAATGAAACATATTACAAATCTTCAACATATTTTTGCCACTAAAACATAAGAACAAATTATTATTATTATCATAAGCTTGAATATCTTTATCTTATAATAACGGTATAAGAACAAATTAGTAAATGGTGAAGACTGTCAAAGTCAGTCATGAACATAGGCATGCTGAGAGTTTATTAAAATGACAAGATATAGCATACTAAACCAGTTGTAAGTACTAACATTTAGTAGTACATTTAAAATCTTGGATTATCTTAAAAAGGTTTTTAGGATATCATTTTTATATCTTTATTTGTCAACAGCTACAATTTATAACTTATGAGAAAGACCCTAAATATTTATTTTTGTAATTAAAAAACTATCTTAATTTTTTTAACACATTTCTAATTAAAAAAACAATCTTATTAAAATAAAATAAGAAAATGGTTCAAATATTCATCACGGTTATAATTTGACTTTTATCTGCAATCTCCATCACAGTTATAAGTTAATGGAAAATAGCTGGAACAGTAAGAGAATTGTCACCACAATGTCACACTCCAAGAAAATAGTTGGAACTGTAAGAGAATCCATGGCCTCTGAGAAACCATTGATTCAAGAAAACTTGTGAGGACAGAAATTGAAAATAATTTCACTTTTACACTGTCTAAAGTAGCCGGAGTATAATGTCTTGACTAGTTAGCTAATTATGTCATGAACATAAATAAAATGAAAGTTAAGTTCCAAAGCAAAAATTTAAAGTCGTGTCATTTGAAAGAGATCATCTGTTATTCACAAATGGACTCACCTGCGGATTGCAGTATGTGGTATCAAGAATTAAAGTATTAATAGGACGTATCTGCAGGAAAGGGTTGTTTGCCATTTCTTCACTATAACGAAAATCACCTGTGTGAAGCACCACCTAAATAAACAGAAAACTAGCTAGTAAGTTCTAACAAAACAATGGGTAGCTAGCCAGCAAACAATAATTAAGCTCATTAGGAAGTCAGTCCAAGCCATACCTGACCATTAGGAGGTTGAAAGAGTATTATTATGGAGCCAGGACAGTGGTTGGCATCCAAGCAAGTCACGCCAATACCAGCTATTTCAACCTTTTGGTTTAGAGGCAAAATATGTAATTTATCATATGAAATCCCTATGTTCATATTTACAAGTCTAGCTGTAACAGAGGAGCAATAGATCTTTCCATGATTGAACGACTTGGTGAGACCTTGATAATCTGCATTCACAAATGAGAACCAACAGCCAGAGAGCAGATTGGAAGTCTGATTGCAATAATTTGCTCATAAAGAGCTAACCCCTGGAAATTTTAAATTTTTATATTTGTAGTTTTAACTTGAGTCTCCATTGAGTTTATCATGGAACCTAAAACACACATTTTTCTGGTAGGGGAACGGGCATCAAAACACCCAAAAGTAATTTAGAAAAAGACAATCCACACTTTCATACCACATATATATTTATGCTTTCACATGTCAGACACATAGCACTGTCTCTCACTTTTGTGATCGCGCAGATCATATAACACACCATTTGTCAAAAACCATTTTGTTACCAAATTGTCTACATAGATCAACTGTGAATATACAATCTCAGGAGTGATTGTATAAACTAATCATATGACCAAAGTTGGGTACTACGAAAAGAAAACATACCAAATCATAAAAAGTAGTAAACTGGCATGTGTTCATGGAGACCTGTGTAAAAGTTATTAGAGCTTACAGTTGGTGTGCTTATTAAATACTAGTATAGGTAAGTTCATAATTCTGAAAAGCTAAAACTTCAAATCTGAACTGTAATTTAGAGGCTAACCAAATTGAAACAGTTCATGAATATAAAACAAGGATCCATAAATGTAGATAAATATTGCATAGACACAAAAACACATTTGTTGCAGGAAATCAGTAACTGGACCAAGAATTACAAATGGTAAAGATTGAATGTCTAATACATGCAAAAACAGACTTACGGTCCATGTGGAAGTGTGTAAGAAACCAGTGGGAACAATCTCCTCTTAGGTATTTGAAAGCATCCTACATAAATTAGATGTGTTACTCAGATACTCAGATCCATATCAAAAAAAGGATATGGCGAAAACCGTGATGAAATACCATAAGTTTCTTAATCTTCTTAGTTTACTAGCTATCTCAAGATGAATTCATTGTATAAACATTGTTTCTCTATCTTCTAGTATTTTTTCCTAGTTCAGCATGTCAATATAAATCATGATTGAGAGGTATGCTCAGTTTGAATTGTCATCCAAGTGTCCAGTAATCATTTTCTTGACTGGATGTGATAAATTAATTACCATGCACCACACATAAAAACCCATTTTTCCTGGGCAATAGTGCATCAGAATACAACATGAATGTAAAGTGAGGAAAAAAAAGGTTTATTTTCAGACCAGTTTGAAAATGCTTTCTTTCTAGCTATAAATTATCTGGAATTTCCTAGAAGAATGCATCAAGAGAGAATACACAAAACACGTAAACATGTATAAAATAGAATATTACTTACCACACGGAAAGGTGTTCCTTGTACGGCACACCATTTAGGAACATCACGATTCTTTGTACTTGTTGACATATTGTGTGCTTTGCGCTTACGAGCAGAAACTGAGCCACTGTTTTTCACTTCATGTTGTTCTACAGGAGGGGCAGAAACTTTCTTCTCATTGGTAGCAAATCCCGGAAAATATTCAGTAATCAACTTGTTTGCTACTGGTTTAACAGTGCTGTCAACTTTTCGTTCAGATTTGTCAAGTTGCAAGTTGACATTCTGGTTTCTAGTCCTTCTGGGCTCTACCCCAGAATTCTCATTATTATCATTTGAAGAGGCAATTCCTCTTCTAAGTTCTGACAGGGCACGTACAATCTTTTTTCTGGGACCAAGTGCAGATATACCCATGTTTAAGAGATCCTTCAAATATCAAAGGAAAAGAGGGAGGAAAAAAACCCCATTAACATAAATCTTAATCCTTTAGCAACAGAGGAAAGCAAAAAGACAGGTGCTTCATACAAACAACAACATATTTCTACTTCTATTTTATGCTACACTTTGAAATTTAGATGTAAAAGCCCAAACCACACGCAATTTTTAGATTTCTAATAGCATAAATGTAAGTATTATTCTTCAAAATGCCACTCTAAGGCCTAATTACAAAATGATTACTTGGTCCAAGTAAGTTGAATATGGTAAATTGATCTCAATAAGGAGTGGAAGAGCCTAAAAAGCTCATTTTCAAATTCGCTTAAAAATTGAAGATTGCATTCAAATAAATTCAAGGGCCAAATCTGTGTGGCAAAAGATATGAACCTAAAAGTGATGGTATGAGCTGAGATAGGGAACAAACATAAACTCACCTCTTCAGTCAGCCATTGCAAGGTATCCCAATCAACTTCTTCCCTAACAAAAACTTCTTCATATTTAGCTAAACCGAGATCGCGTATCCAATCAACAACAAGAGAAACTTTCAGCCCAAATTGAGCACCCACCTCATCGCTAGGAAGAGCAACCTGCATAAAATATTAAGATTTTTACAGCATTATTTTATAATCAATGACCAAGTTCTACCCATTTCATTCTTCAATTCTTCAACTCTGTGGTTATATTTGAATGATAAACTGGCAAAAACCTAGCAATCGCAAACCTAGTTAAAAACCTACCAAGCTAAAACACTAAGGTTCAACTAAAAAAATGATATTGATGCACAATTTAACTACATGGTAATTGCAATTGATAAAAAAAAAAAACTAGAAAGAGCTATCTTACATCTTCTCCAGTTTTATCAAGACATTGATTGGTATGAAGATTTCGCTCTTCCTCGGTTAAATCAGAAATATCATCACCACATAGGGGACATTCAACTGAACCATCAAACCCATCGCGCAAATTCACCTTCGAACCAGACTCTCCATAATCAAACACCTTAGTTCTCGACACCACCAACCTAGACTCTAGTGAATTGTTCGAATAAGCACGTTTACTATCCTTCTTCAGCTCCGACACATAAGAACAATCAGCTTGAACAGTGGAATCAAAATCTAATGTGGAAGGAATGAAATCCAAACTACAGTCACCGGATTCGTAACGGTCGCTGTGATTGTGAATGGGAGATAAAGGAGGAATGTTCTCTTTGCCGGGAAACGGTGTCGTTTTGGTTTTGGGTTTTTTGGATGGTCGTTGATTGTTGGAAAGTGATAGAGGTTGAGTGAGAGGAAGTTCGAAATCGTCGTTGTCGTCATCGTCGTCAAAATGAGTGTGATCCAAATTCGCCATAGTTGTAAAGCTTGGTTCTTCTGTAAGATCTTGAACAAGATGGGGATAGAGATAATAACAATATAATAATAGCGCCTTTTTCAAAAAACGATTGGAGGGAAAGGAAATTTTTATTTGTTTTTGAATCTCCCTCTATTTGCTACATGGGCCCGTAGCCAAGCCCAGTCCAGTTATTGGCCCAATAAACTTTCTTTATTTTATTAATTAATTAATTAATAATTAGTCCTTACAATATTTAATATTATTATAAATTGATTTGGACTAAGTCTTTTATAGTTGAATGAAAGTTAGTTGAAATGGAATATTTTAGCTCAAGTAAAATAATTATTTATACATTCTTCCCGTTTGATGATTAGACAATTTATGTGACATTTTATTTTGTAATTTTTTAAAATTCTAGTAGATTTTTTATTTTTATTTTTGGATTTATTTTTTTAAAAAATTATTTGAACACTACATCTTTGTTCTGTAAAAGGACACTCTAACCGCCAAGATGCGTGTGATATTGGTATAATAGTTTACTAGAGGATTAAGAGATTGATTGATGTCGTTCTACCTTTACTCTTTTTGCATTACTATTGTCACTATGAATAGTTATGTTCTATTTTGTTGGTGTTGAATTTATATTATATTATGATATATATGTATTATTTTTTATCATGACGTAATATTTATTTTAGTTATTCAATCATAATGATATTTATTCTTGTGTTTAATATTTGTTATATCTTGATAATGCTCGTGAACCTAATTTACTACTGAGATGTACTCTTAGTGTAAACTAAAGATATGTCAAAATAACCTAGCATACTATTTTTTTTTCTTCCTTTTTTCTTTTTTGTTGGAACATGTTAATATAAGGATGGCAAACGAGCATGTCCGTCTTATTAAAAGCTTACAAAAAATAAATAAAGTGGAGTAGGGCAGACATAATTAAGGGTGTAAGCCTAAAACCTTGGTAAGCCTCACATAAAACTGAGGTCGGGGCAAAGCAGCCCGTATGCACTGCACTTTTTTAATTTAAAAATATAAGGAAAAAAAATTTAGGCAGGACAGAGTTGACACATTAGAGGATACATATTTAAAAGCTTGATCATCTTCATAAAAAATATTGGCAAAACGAACACGTCTGACAGGTTGGGCCAATTTTTCCACCTATGTGAATATGAGAGATATTGGAAGGGAGAATTTTCTAGATTTATTTCCTTTTGTTTTTACATCCTCTTTCTCTTTTTGATTTTCAATTAATTCCTTCTTTTATCACCTTCTTTTTCTCCCTCTTGCTTGTAATGATATCATTGCAATGCTCATTCAAATTTGCTTGAATTTTGGGGTGAAAGTGATTCATTGTTGATAAGCTAGTTGTCTTGCGATACGTCCTACACGCACTTCCAAAATTTTTGTTAAGACATTGGTTTGATTTTGATTGGCAATAAACATTTGTATAAATTAATTAAGAATGTCCTTCAGTTTTGATGTTTTGAGGATGACTCTGATTATAATTTGGCTATGTTCGTTGTGTGATGCATGAATGTGCATCTCTGCCTTACTATTGTTTTTACAATCTCACTGGCTTTCAGACGGGCACTCGCGTGTCCGTCTGTCCGCTTTTTTATTGCACACATATAAATATAAATGATATATTTTTATTTAATATTAATTTTACATGAATGTTATGTGAGAAGTTATTAGTAGGGAGTTATATGAAAGATGATAGTAGTAGTTCAATGAAAGTTATTGTGTAAGTTATATATTTTAAAATAAGGGTAAATTTGGTATAAAAAAAAGCTACACCAAAAACCAAGTATTGCCTTTATATATGTAATAGTTTATAATGAATAATAATATTATTTCTTTCAATTATGTCATTTATTTAAATAAATAATAGTGTTTAAAATTATATTTTGATAATATTATTATATTTAAATTAAAAATAAAACTTATTTATTATGCAATATTTTTCTTCATAATAATCTTACTATAGTAATTAAAAATAAAATTTGTTCAATTAAAAATAAAATAACCATTGGATAGCAAGAAGTTGTTTGTTAATAATTGTCAACCTCTCATTGATAAAATGATTAATAGATTGAGACATTGGAGTATTGGGATTTTATCTTATGCATGGAGACTCCAATTAGTTAGAAGTGTGATCTTTTCTATCTCTAACTATTGGATGCAAATTTTTCATCTTCCTAAGAAGGCGCTAGCCCATGTGAAAGGTTTGTGCATAAGGTTCCTTTGGACTGACAAAGAGAATGGGAGCATGAGTGCACCAATGGCCTGGGACCATGTATGTGACCTCATCTCTGCAGGAGGGAGAAACTTGGTGTCTTAAATAGAGTGGAATAAAGCCACAATTGGTAAATTGATGTGGAATATTTGGGGGGAAAATGATATATTGTGGATTCAATTGATACACACCTACTACATGAAGGGTGTGGATGTTAGAGAGTATCAGTAAGCTAATTATTGTTCTTGGTTATTGAAAGCAGTCTTCAAAAATAGAGATTTGTTAATTAATTCTGAAGTTTGGAAGGACTTTCAAGATGATAGCAGGTACAATACAAGCAAGATGTATAGCTTTTTGCGTGGAAATAAGCCAAGGGTGGATTGAATGGCATTGTTTTTTGGAAATCTTATTAGGCCTGGGGCCATCTTCACTTTATGCATGGCTTACCAAAATCGACTTCTAACCAAGGATAGGATGAGGAACATGGTATGAGTACTGATGGTATGTGTGATTTGTCATTTACAAGAAAGTTGCCATCATTTATTCTTTGAATGTGCAACTACAAAGGTTGTTTGGCAGCAAATTCTAGCTGGAATTGGTTTGGTGTATAACTCTAGTGGTTGGCAAAATGAGATAGCCTGGATTCTTCACAAAACTTGGGGCAAAGGAAGTTGTACCAAGCTTCTGAAATTGGTTATTTCTAAGAATGTGTACCATGTTTAGACAGTGAGGAACAAGATCATATTCCAAAATTGTAGCAAGGATGCTCTGCATAGTAAACACACTAGAGATATGTTGCTATTTAGGATTGATATGGATAGGAAACGTGTAGCCTATTGTAATATGATGTGAGTTGTCGTTAGTTTATTTTTGTTGTTGTATTGGTTGTTGAGTCATCTTGTAGCCTCGATCCTTTGATCGGCTTGTATTTCGTGATTTTTGATAATAATGTTTATTCCAAAAAAAAATAGTCTTATTATAATAATTTTGAAGGAGCTCATTAATTTTGATATTTTTCTTCAACATACACAATTTTTTTGTAGACAAAATTTGGCATTTCCAAAAGCATATGTACCATTGTGAATTGATTGCATTTGTGGGCAATACTTGGCTATATGGCTAGGAAAATCAAGAACATTGGCATCATGCAGGTAGTCAATTCGCTCGAGGATTGAAATGGTGTTGGTTCTTTTATGGTATTTGACGGAATGAATGATTTGTACTTTGGTTGAATGCATCTGGTGGAATGAATTTATTGTAAAATTATTCATATTATCATTCGATCCATGACGACCGCCTAAACGAAGAGAATCACGACCATGAAAATTCTAAGATTCATTTCTCTAATGGAAATTCATTGTTTCTACAATAACATCTGCAGTTTGCTCCTTCAATTGTATTACTTTAAAAGAAATTAAAATAAAATTCAAAATTATACTATTTAATTGAAGCACATAATTGAAGAAAAATGTTGCATAATAAATAAGTTTTATTTTTAATTTTAATATGATAATAATATAAAAAATAGAATTTCAAACACTATTATCATTTAAATGAATGATATAATTAGAAGAAACAATATTATTATTTATTGCAAACTATTATACCAATATCACACGAAGCTTGGTGGTTGGGACGCCCTCTTGCATAACAAAGGTCCAGGGTTTAAACATCGAACCCCATTCGGACCAATTTTTAGAAGTTGTGGATTTTATCATTTAATACCCAAACAAAAAATATTAAAATTGGCTCACATTGTAAAAGAGTAAAGTGTATTTAACCCATGAATTTTTATCAAGTCCATCAAAGTTCATGCAGATTATTATGAGAGTGTAAGAATTGGTCAAAAAAGTGTGGAACTTCGTAATTTAGTGTTTTTCATGTGTTCCATGTTTATAATGTTATTGACTTAAATTGTTATCTTCACGAAAACATGAAGCAAGTAAGCAGATAACATGCGCATTGATGAGAAAAGGGGAATGTCATTATATGAGTATGAATGGGTCAAACATGGGTCGCATACACCAGATAATATGAAGAATCATACATTACCTGCAAAAATAGTCGATTAATTTTAAATTTCATAAGTCACAATTTTTTTGGAGGTAAGACTAGTTTTATATATTAATATCATATTTACATAATTCATAAAACACATACAACCAATCTAACTAGTCTACTTTAGTAAATTTATTCGTTATCTTTCTTTTTGGAGTATACTTGTGTAATTATTTGCAAAAGTTAAAGAACCCATAAATGAGAGGCATAGTTTATTATGTGGTGTAATTGTTTGAAATGCATAACGTGATACAAATGAAAGTTATTAGTAAATCATTCATTTAGCTAACTTTCAATTTCAACAAAAAAATTTACACATTCAGTTAGCACTATGCCCAATATCACTAAAAATTTAGTTAATTAAGTCGTGATTATATATTTAACATATGCATTTGTGTTATAGTACAAGTTTCCCCAACATTGACCAACTAACAATTTTTGCATCAAATAGTCAGTCTCATGTAGACCCAGTGATCCATTGTAAAAACTAGGAATTCCAACTTTAATATATCCTCCTAGTTACTCTAGTAAGGCTTTGATTTACCTCCAATAGAACAACTAGCGGTGATAATAATCACATCCTTCATCACACAACATATTGTTATGGAGATATTTGATATCACATATTAAGTATCTTAACATCGTTAGGCAAATGGTTCACTGTGAGGTTCAACATGAAAGAGAGGTGGATACCAAATGGGTTGATTTTGGTGATAATTATGTCACTTTTATCATTCAATGAATCCAAGGGAACCAAGGTCAGTCAAACATTTCACAACAAAGTTGTTGCGGTTAGAATATGATATCAAATTATTAGTTAATTTGAATCGCATCTTTAGTTCATAACCGCTCTTTGATTTATCCGAAGGAAAAGGTCAAAAGAGAAAAAACCTAATTTCGCATCGTAAAGACAATGCGGGGAGAGATCTAGGTAAGGGGTTGATTAAGCTCAACAGAATCATATACAATAAGTATATTTCATTTCCTTATATCTATATACTAGTACTTTTTCCACGACTAAACTTAGAGGAAACCCAATGAAGATTGATATGCTAGATCAGGATGATCTTTAATTTATATGAATGATATGGTTAAGAGGCCTCCTGATGTAGTAAAACAAATTGGTATGTCACAAATTTCTCCATATGACAACACTATATAAGAAAACAACATGTCTTACACTACAAGACAATTGTCGTTGGCTCAACAACAGGAATATGAAGACTCATTGTTGATTACTCAGCTCAACAAAAATTGTGATATTATCCACCTAGATCAACAAAACCAACAAAGTACCTATCTTGACCAAATTTGCAGATTGCAGCCCCGATGAGTTCAAATTTACCAAGATTAGCTAATGATTATTTTGAAGAGTATACACAGGTTACAAATCCCCCATACAAATATAATTTTCCAATATTTCTAGGATTTACATTGAGAAATCATGTTGGGATGAACAAACCATGGCAATGGGTAAATATTAAACATTAGTCTCACAACCAACATGGTTTATAAAATTCCAAATTAAGATGTGCAGCTTTACCCAACTGCAACTGAGCCTAAACCTTATGGATAATAGTTGTTAGATTCTAAACTCACAAATGATATTATTAAGAGATACATTATAATACACTTAAAGTCTATGCAGTGACTTATATTTATGAAATATTGTCCTTTTGTTAATGAATATAGGCGTGCCTCTACTGAGAGATTATAAACTCTTGATTTTTTTACCTTATCTGTTTGAGTGATTAGTGTATTGTCAAGATACAATAGCTTTTTCGCATGTATTGTGGCTAAATAACACAGACACACATTAAAAAGTATTTTGGAAGCCTCTTTTTTTTAATTTAAATCACTATAATGTTTTTGCAGTCTAGCCTAGTGTCTTAATGAATGATTATGACTCTCTATTAAAATCTTCCAATTTGGACAGCAATAATCGATTATTGCAAGTACCTAATTGATTAGTTTATCGATTAGTTCATTTATTTGGAACACGAATTATCTCCACGAATACACCATTTATTAGCCAATAAATAGAGAGACTCCCTACCATTTTAAAACATCCAAAAACATGAAAAATCTCATTTTCCTTTCTCTCACACTTTCTATAAATCATTTATACTTTTTCACAAATTGTAGTCATAATGTATTAAGAGCATTTTTTTAGTTTAAATGGGGAATTTGTTTTGGGTTAGGGGTTTACTGTAAGTTTACCAAGAATATATTTTCTCTTGAGTAAATCATTTTTCCTTAGGAAGTGATTTTTTGGGTTAGGAGCTAAACCAATGTAAAAGCTCTTTTGAGGAATATAATAAAGCTTTGTTTGGTTCGTGGGCTCTGTTATTTAAAAAAAAACCTCCTTTGGATTCACAAAGAATAACCATAGAAAAATATTCACAATGGTTTTTCACCTCATCCCAGTGAAAAGATATTTGGTTCGAGATCAACCTGCATAAATTATTAAGATTTTTACAAAATTGTCTTATAATAATGACCAAGTTCTACCCATTCCATTATTCAATTCTTTAACTTTATCCTTATACTTTGAATGATAAACTAGAAACCTAACCATTGCAAAACCTAGCAAACCACTAAATTTTCACTAAAAAATGAAATTGATACAAAATTTATCTGTGTGGCTATTGTAATTGATAAAAAAAGACTAGAAAGAGCTATCTTACATCTTCTCCAGTTTTATCAAGACATTGATTGGTATGGAAATTATGTTGTTCCTCCATTAAATCATAAATATCATCACCACAAAGAGGACAATCAACTGAACAATCAAACTCATCGCGTAAATTCACCTTCGAACTGGACTCTCCATACCTAAACACCTTAGTTCTTGACACCACAAGCATAGACTCTAACAAATAGTTTGAATAAGCACATTTACTATTCTTCTCCTGATTCAACGCATAAGAACAATCAACTTGAACAGTGGAATCAAAATCTACGATGGAAGGAATGAAATCCAAACTACAGTTATCGGCTTCGTAATTGTCGTTGTGATTGTGAATGGGAGAGAAAAGATGGATGTTCTCTTTGTCAGGAAACAATGTCTTTTTGGTTTTGGATTTTTTGGATGGTCGTTGATTGTTGGAAAGGGAAAGAGGTCGAGTGAGAGGAAGTTCAAAGTCGTCATTGTCGCCATAGTCGTCGAAACGAGTGTGATCCAAATTCGCCATAGTTGAAAAACTTGGTTCTTCTGTACAATCTTAAACAATACGAGGATTAAGATAATAATAATATAATAATAGCGCCTATTTCAAAAAAACAATTGGAGGAAAAGTGAATTTTTATTTGTTTTTGAATCTCCCTCTATTTGCTACATGGGCCGGTAGTCAAGCCCAATCCAATTATTGGCCCAATAAACCTTCTTTAATTTAATTAATTAATTAATAGCTAGTCTTTACGATATTTAATATTATTATAAATTGATTTAAAGTCGAATCTTTTATAGTTGACTGAAATTTAGTCGAATAAAAATATATGGAATACGAGATAGATGATTTTTATCAAGTCCATCAAAGTTCATGGAGATTATTACTAATGGAGTGTAAAAATTGGTCAAAGAAGTGTGAAACTTCACAATTTAGTGTTTTTTATGTGCTCCACATTCATAAATTTATTAACTTAAATTGTTGTCTTCATGTGAGCTTATAGCAAGTAAGCAAATAGCATGTGCATGGACGACGAAAGGGAAATGTCGTTGGATGGGTATGAATGGTCAAACATGGGTCGCATACATCAAATAATAGAAAGGATAATATATTACCTGCAAAAATAGTTAATTAATTTTAAATTTCATAGGTCACGAATATCACAATTGCACAATTTATAAAACACATACAACCATTCAAACTAGTTTACTTTGATAAATTTATTCTTAATTTTTCTATTTTGTGTATACTTGTGTAATTATTCACACAAGTTAATGACATTATGAATGAGATACATATTTAATTGTATGAAATGCATAGGTTAACACAAATGAAAGCTATTAGTCGTTCATTTAGTTAACTTTCAAGTTCGACAAAAAAACTTTCCACATCCAGATATCATTACGCTCAATATCACTAAAAAATCAGTTAATTAAGTCATGATTATATATTCAACACATGCACTTGTGTTATAATACAAGTTTTCCCAAGATTGACCAACTAGTAGTTTTTGCATCAAATAGGTCAATCCCTTGTATACCCAGTGAATCCAGTGTAAAAACTACGAATGTCGATTTTAGTGGATCCTCCTAATTACTTTAATAAGGCATTGGTTTACCCCAATACATGAATTAGCAATGATAATAACCACGTCCTTCATCCCACAACAAATTTCTATGGAGATATTCGATATCATGTATCAGGTCTCTCAACTTTGTTAGGCTAATGGTTCAATGCGAGGCTCAACATGAAATGAAAGAGAGATGGATACCAAATGAGTCAATTCTGGTGATAATTATATCACTTTTATGAATTCAAGGGAACCAAGGTCAATCAGACATTTCACATCAAATTCATCTGGTCATTGGTACGATAAGACCTTCATGTGTTTAGTAGAATCATATACAACAAGTATATTTCATTTGTATATCTTAATAAACTAGTATTTTTTCCACGACTAACCTTGGAGGAAACCCAATGGAAAATGATATGCTAAATCAGGATGATCTTTAATTTATACGAATGATATGGTTATGAGGTCTCATGTTATGGTAAAATAATTTGGTATGTCATAAATTTCTCCCTATGACGACACTATATAAGAAAACAACATGTCTTACGCTAGAGGACGATTGTTGTTGGCTCAGTAGCAAGAATACAGAGACTCGTTGTTGGTTACTCATCTCAACAAAAATGGTGATATTATCCACATAGATCAATAAAACCAACAACATACCGGTATGGACTATATTTGCAGGTTTTAGCCCTGACGAGTTCAAATTTACCAAGACTAGCTAATGATTATTTTTAAAGAGTATACATGGATTCCAAATCCACCGTACAAGTATAATGTTCCAATATTGCAAGGAATTCCCTTGAGAAATCATGTTGAGATGGACAAACCATGGTAATGGATCAATATTAAACATTAGTCTCACTACCAACATGGTTTACAAAATTCCAAATTAAGATGTGCAACTTTAGTCAACTGCATATTATTCTAAGCCTTATGGATAATAGTTGTTAGATTCTAAACTCACAAATGATATTATTAAGAGTTACATTAGGATACACTTAAAGCCTATGTAGTGACTTATATTTTATGAAATCTTGTCCTTTTCTTAATGAATATAGTCATTAGGATACAAATGAATATAGTCATGCCTCTGTCGAAAGATTATAAACTTTTGTAGCGTACTGTAAAGACACAGTGGCATTTTCGTAAGTACGGTGGCTAAATCACATAGGCACACACTAAAAGGTATATTTGAAGCCTCCCTTTTTAAATTTAAATCATAAAAATATTTTGGAGGCTAGCCAAGTGTATTAATGAATGGTTACAAATCTCTATCAAAACCTTCAAATTTGGACAACAATAATCGATTGTTGCAAGTACCTAATTGATTAGGTCATTTATTTGGTGCATGTATTATTTCCAAGATTACATCATTTATTAGCCTATAAATATGAAGAGTCCCAACCATTTCAAAACATATAGAAAACATGAAAAACCTCATTTTTCGTTTCTCTCATACTTTCTCTAAATCATTTATACATCTTCACACACTTCAGTCATGGTGTTTTGATTGCGTTTTTTAGTTTAAGTGGGGAATTTGTGTTGAGGGAGAGGTTTATTGTAAATTTTCCAAAAGTATTTTTTCTCTTGAGTAAATCATTATTACTTAGGAAGTGACTATCTAGGTTAGAAGATAAACCAGTGTAAAAGATTTTTTGAGGATTATAATAAAGCTCTGTTTGGTTCGTGAGCTCTACCATCAAAGAAAAGCTCTGGTTTGGGTTCGTGAAGAATAACCATAGAAAAATCTTCACAACAGTTTTTAAGCTCAATCCAGTTAAAATATTTATTGGTCCAAGATAAACCATGTATAAAATCTCATACAAATTTATGAGTTTAGCCTGTGCAAAAGCTCATTAGGTTTATAATTTTTGTTCTCCTTCTAGAAAGATGCCAAGCACAATGTGTCAGACAATGTGTATGACAAGGTTAATGCAGTCACAATTAAAATGTAGATAAAGTAATTTGGTCACAAGGAATCGGTAACCAGTTCGGTGTAATGTCACCCATGTCTTGAGGGTGTTAACCCAAGAAAGCTATTAATAATTAAAAAATACAAATTAGTCTTAGATAAAATCTTATAGTTTAATGTCTTTTTTTCTTAATTCTACCCATGAAGTTATATTTAGGACTCCCCCTAAATATGAGACTTCTCTCTTTATTTCAACCATTATCTCTAATGTTGAACAAATTACAAAACTATTTGAATGATAAAGCTATTACGACTCAATAAACCAAACTATATTCCCTTAGATATGAAGATTCAAATGATTAGAGTTTCACAAGTTAAACAAACGAAAACATAAAGACTCAACAAATTAAGAATGTCTTGCAATATCTCTCAAGGTATGAGTCTTCGGTATGGAGAGTGCCTTCTTAAATATCTAAACATCCAGAACCATATTGCGTTTAGGGTTTTAGAATACTCGCGGTTAAAGAAACACTACAAAGTGCAATTTCAATGTATGATTTAACTTGATTTGCAATCTATCTTAAATTAAATCTTTATCAATCTGGTTTGGTTTTGATATTTGAGTTTTTTAGGAATTTTGTCCTAATTCCAAAAAGTTAGTAAACTCAGATAAATATGGAAAAGAATCTGGCATGTGATTCTATTACAGCGCATGCAACACCTTTTTTTTAAATCAAAATCAAGTGTATATATATTTTTAAAACCACAGAGCACGCTAAATTAAATGGGAAATCGTACCTAACACATCTAAAAGAACTACATCATACAGTTTTAAAAGTAGGACAATCATTTTTAAAGTTGAATAGTATTATATGCGTCAGTAGTGCTTCTTAAGAAAGCAAAGTGTATGTACACGAATATTACAATTCCCAAAAGAAACATATAGTTCATGACACCTAAACATATGTGTATCATGAACTTAGGGCATACTACAGCCAAGACATGATAAAAGTTGTTCACCAAATGTGTAATATTATCAACTACAATCATCCAAAAGGTACCAAAATAAATTACGACTAGTCATCATCTACGTTAGTGCAGTTACGTCAGGGTAAGTCTATACAGTCAAACTGGAAGCACTAGGGGAACAAATACAATGGGCCTCGCCAAAAACTAGGCAAGAGCTCTCAGAAAGGGGCTCGTGCTCGCGACGTCACCTCATACACCTCTGTACCAGAATAGTCTCCTGACTCATCGGTAACTAAATCGACCCACGTAGTAGGGGTGACCAAGGGAGGTGGAATATTGTAACACGTCTCCACGGGTACTGAAGGTCCACCCACCTTGATTCCTCAATGAGTAGATGCTCCCAAACTACCAAATGGTATTATCTCTTCCAAAAACACTCATTTGTGTCCCAGGCTGAGGGCCCACATGAGCATCCCATGGAGCTCCCTATACTCCCTGCATGGGGACAGGAAATAGGGCCGTCTTATAGACCATACTTTGATGTATATGAAGAGTGTTGTATCTAGTAGTAATAAAAACTTACCTATTATAGTACATCATACTTGAAGCCGGGTCTAAACTCCAAGCACTAGGTCGACCTTTGTCAATGAAATCTTAGGTGGTCACTGTCTCCATCTCGATCTACAACATCGTATGATTTCCCATTGTTTGGATGGCCATTAACCTGTAACATATATGTGGTAGAAGGGTTACAATATAAAAATAACATGTACGAAAGAATACACACATGTAAGTACAACGTGATATATAATAGTCCCAACATTTCACAATTAGCCTAATGCAGACTCTACATGAGCGTGATCGCCTTAACAGGATTTGTTATATGATAGGATTTGATCTAGAGGGGTTGAATAAATTAAAAAATTTAAACCAAAAACTTTTGGCAAAATTTTGTTTTCAAAAAGTATGGCAGAACAGAAAAACAATCCAAATCGAATCGTCTAACCGAGCCTACTATCGAAAAGTTATACGCGCAATGTAAACCTTATGGAATGATAATGAACACAA